TTTAAAACGCATAGCTCAGACAGAATCATGATTTCTATTTATTTTCCACTGATTTACTGATGAGCATTAGCAGCTTCCAGCGCTGTCTGCTTGTGTTCTCTCTTCCATGATCACTGCTCTAACTCAGAGGTAATAACATATTTAATTTCAGCAACATTACATGGCCATAACACACATTAAATTGCAATCGGAAGTTATTTCAAACACTCTATGGTGGTTTAAAGTGAGTTTTGAGTAAAAGTGGAATATAAATCTTATTTATTGTCTTATGTAGCATGATGCTACAGTTTGCATGAATGGTCACATAACACGCGCTTACGGTCATGTAACGTTAGTATGAATGGACATCTGCACATTTTCGCTACTCTCCATTGGAAATTAGTGACTGAATGAGCGGTTTGTCGTTTGTCAGAGATGGTGGAAAGCCGGCTTGAAACACCAGTATGACGAGGATCGTTTTCATTTTAAAACATTAACGCACCAGTTTAAATGTAGCCTTACATCTAAGGGGGCTGGGACGCATTCGCACTACAGCCTCAAGTGTGCGTCACATCTCAAGTCAAGTCAAGTCTGCTTTGTCAATTCTTCCACATATACATACAGAGAATTGAAATTGCGTTACTCTCAGACCCTTGGTGCATACAGATAACACTAACAGTAGAACATAAAATACAGATAGATACAGATTAAATATAAATTAAAATACAACTATACAAATATACAAATAAGGTAATGTAAAAAAAAAAATCTCTGAGTGTAACCAGGGTAAACTAGTAGGTGTGTTCGACTTGACGCGGACTGACTGTGCAGACCGATCGGTGTATTAGAGTACCACAAGAGCTAAAGAGAGCAGACTGCTCCGTGCGCTTTCGAATCGCTCTCGCGGATGTCAAACACTGATCGATCTGCCCCACACCTCTTCTAGTCGAACACACTGGCTAGTGCTGCAGGCTTATTGGCTCACTGACGCTGATGAGATTAACCCCATTAGGTATCGAAATTTGGTACTGAACGACAAGACGTTTTTCAATACTCGATGGTATCGAGGCATTTCGGTCGGTGCCTAAAAAGTATCGAACTCAATACCCAGCCCTAATTAGAGTACATTTTACAAGAAAATATTTCACATGTAATTCAATTTGTTACGTTGTTTCTTTTAAATTATTTGTGAAATTTACTCCGTTTCTGATTAAATGTTTTTAAGCCATTTTGTTTGAATGGACAGCAGGAGGTTACTGTAAAGAGTTTCCCATGAAGCCCCCCTGTTGATACATGATGCAGTCTTTCTAAGTCCGTCTCCACAGGAAGAACAACATGAAGCCCTTTATTCAATGCTAGGAACTCTAAGATATGCAGCATTTCTTAAAGTACTAGTAAACAACCTCCAGTCCCTCAAAACGCGGGTAAAGCAGTTAAAAGCCCCCTATAGCGTGACCAACAGGTGGATGTAATGGTTCTCAATTAGGATTATCGTCATCCACCCACTCCCATCTTTCCCTTCTGCTGACCTGCACAGGAAGTTCACAGCAGGCAGCATCTCAGCGGGTGGTTAGGACTTTGTAAATCTCTTATAATTTAGCATTTATATAAATAGTTACCGTAAAGCTCAATGTGGATTAGTCATGTATACTGTAACCGGTGTGATTTACTGCCGTCAGGCATGAGGCTGGGAAATTATGCTGACGCTCTTATCTTGTGTACTTAACAAAGTATGAAGTGAACATACTTTTTGCAGTGCGATGTTCAATTGATTCTTTTCAGTGAATCAGCTGAATCAGTTGGGGAATCAGACTGATTTGCTCTTTAGAGTCATAGGTCTGAATCATGGACTGAATCAACTTAGTGAAACACAGGTTGTTATGTCTGACTGGAGCTGAGAAGCAGTACTGTTATTTGTACTTTTTGAAAAGAATGAAAGCCAAAAAATATAAGCTTGTAAGTAAGTAAATAATTACATAATTAAATCAAACCTTTTGTAGTTCGATCAAATAATGTGTCAAGAAGGAGATGCTAAAAATATCAACTGATATTGCATCCAAATAATACACTCTACAAATAGATCAGTTCAGAAAGATCAAGCGCATGGCATTGTGGGATACAGTAAACTTGGGCTGTATACTGTGATGTTACAAATGTAGGTCATGCATTTAGAAAATAATTTTGCTGTATTTATTATTATAACTGGATTTTTTTCACAGTTTGGAACTGTGAATTAGAACAAGCTTCAACTGACTGTACTTTTCTGATTGATGTACAGTACAGTAAAGAGGAACTGCTTTGGCGGAAGTCCAGAGAGGGAACCTGGCATTAACCAGACTTCTTTATTTTATTTATTTCTTCCCCCTGAATCTTTGTTCTGTATCTAACGGTTCCTCTCCCGCTGAAGGAGCGTGTTCGTGAATCACGTCGCTCCGTCTGGGTCTGTTTCTGGGATGTTGCTGACTCACATCTGGAGCTCTTACAGGCATCTGGTTCTGATCGGGACAAACCCACTCGCTTTCTCAGCACGCTCGGGGTCTTTCTCTCTGCGCTGCTCCGTCCTGTCCCTGTGCAGCACAGGAAGCGCATGTGGATGATGGTGGCCCACTGGAATATTAACGAAGGTTCGGCAAAGTCAGCAGGGCGTGTGTGTGTGTGTGTGTATGTGTGCTTTATTCACAGCACCCAAAGCTCCATTCAAACTGAGTGAGCCAGGTTTTTCAAAAGCAGTACAATAGCACATTGTGACATACAGTTGTTGTGTATAACATTCTTTGCAGTTGAATAATAACAATAATCACAGTAGTGCACAACGTTGAGTGTCCTCTTGCTTTATTAAAATGAGGAATATGATGTAAAACACCAATGTTCAACTGTTACAAATAGTAAATATTCATATTTACAAATAATAATAGTCACCAAATGTTTTTATTATTTTTCGCGTTTTTTTTTTGTCCACTAATCGATAATCACAAGATTGTTTAAAAATGGTAAGATTGTGGTGGTAAATATCCTAAATGTTGTTTATCAGGTGAAGATAATAACCATTTTAGGCAACACACAGATTTTTGCCCATTATGCCAATTTTGCACTAAAACACCTTAATAAACACCTTAACTTACCTTATTAATCTTCTAACTTGTTATTCAATTAGTGCATTGACATGTTTATGTTTTTCACATAAAAAATTTAAGAAAACCCAGATATTTTTAAAGTTCTTACATTTTCTTTTCCCGTTTGATTTTCAGAGTTTGCATATTACATTAATTTTTGAAACGGGTCATCCAGTCAAAATTTGGGGTAGTAACTAACTATATGTTTTATTAATAGTCTTTGCTTTAATGCTCTGCCATTCAAACATTTTGTATTTTTAAGTATTTTTTTTTTTTTAGAAGTTTCTTATGCTCACTAAGGCTGCATTTATTTGACAAAAAAGTTAATAACTTTTCAGCGATTTCACGATAAACTTGCCTTGACTTACCTTGCCTTCAGCTGAAATAGCTATTTTCTGTTTTAATAGGTTTTAAAATGTATTTAAAAATAAAATGTAATTTATTCCTGTGATGCACAGCTGAATTTTCAGCATCATTACTCCAGTCTTCCAGGAATCATTCTAATATGCTGATTTGCTGCTCAAGAAACATTTGTTTATTATCAGTGTTGAAAGCAGTTGTGCTGATTAATATTTTTCTGAAAATTGTGATACATTTTTTAGGATTCTTCAACAGCACTTGTTTGAAATAAAAAATTTTGTAACATAAATGTCTTTACTGTCATTTTTGATCAATGTAGAGCATCCTTGCGGAATAAAAGGATGAATTTATTTTAAAAAAATCTTACTGACCTTAAACTGTAGTTAGAGAAAAAAAAAGATTTAATCAATTCCTGCATTAAAAGCTCAGTTAATGCTCATTAGTGTGCTCCGTGTAATTGTTGAAGGCTTTCCCTTCATCTGTGGCATTGCGTCAATGTTACATTGAGGGCTTCTGAGTCTCAGGAGAGTCTGTGGTTTGCGTTTAGGCTCAATGAGGCATGATGGAACTTCCTCTTCCCGCTGCATGCCCTGTTTGCACACTGATGCAAGCTCGATTCCCAAAAGACCTGCTGCCACTTCCAAGAGCACTAAATATACACTGACCACATCCATCAGTGTAGAACAGCTGAGCTGACATTTCTTCTTCAAAACCTGTTGACGTATTTCTTGTACTTGCAATCAGTGACTTAGAGTTTAATATTGTACATTTATTTCTGATTCAGTTACGTCATTCACAGTGCATTATGGAATGAGTAGTTTATTTCCTCACAATAGATGTTCAAATCAAAGTTGGTAATGTTTCAACTTTTAATTAAATACTTCCCTGAAATTCCAATGGAGAAAATGAATAGGAAAAATCCTTCTAGAACTAAGGCTGGCTGAAAAAGTGGGCGTCCACCGACCGTTGTGCTTGTGAAGGCTGTGATGAATATCCGTGTGTAGAGGATGGACTCCACTAGCTTCCTGTCACGGTGACTGGCGTATGTTGGTTTACATCACATACTATGAAAAGTAAATCAACAGCCTGGTCAGGATGACAACATGGTGACGTCTAGAGCTTATTATTGAACCCAATTTTCAGGAAGCACCTGGAGGAACGAGAGATGAGCATAACCTGTGACCTCGCTTGGGTTTTGTTTGCGCGTTTATTTTGGACAGTTCATGGTGTCATTATTTGCTCTTCCTAGAAGTCCTGCGGAAGCTATAGAGCCTGAGTCCTTCCACTGATGGAAGAATGACCAGTCTTGGGATATCGGTACCGTGTTGGTACATCCATATTAGAGATATATTAGTAATTTAAAAAAATCTCTGTCTGTCTATCTATCTAATCACATTTTAAATTTGCACATGGTATAGAATTTTAATATTGGCCATTTATCAATTGTCAACAAAAACAAAGATTATCACCTTTACAAGCATTTTAAAAACTATTGTTTTTAGTGTTTTGTTTTTAATTTAGACTTTTTTGTTGATTTCATCTGTTATTAGCAATAACATAAAGATTATTATCTTGTCAGCTATGTGTAATTTTGCAGAATGATTTTGCAGCAAAAGAGATCTTCAGCAAATCTCAAAATGAATATATTTTTTAATACTGTGCATTATAATGTTGTCATGCCTGCTTCACTTGTAGCATTTGGTTGTTACTATTTAATTTTAAATTAATTTAGACATTTTTAATTAAAATTCATTTTAATTTATTTAGACATGGTATAGAATTTTAATATTGGCAATTTATCGGTTATTATCAAAAACAACGATTATTGTCTTGTCAGCTATTTGTGGTTTTTGCTGTGTGATTTTACAGTAAAAGAGATCGTAATCAAGCCTCAAAATAAATATATTTTTTATACTGTACATTATAATGTTGTCATGTCTAAATTCACTTGTAGCATTTAAAAATGATTGTTTTTAGGGTTCTATTTTAGGGTAACATTTTTATAAAAAAATTAAAAAATTATTTAGACATGTATAGAATTTTAATATCGGTCATTTATCAGTCTTGTCAGCTGTTTGTAATTTTGCAGTATGATTTTGCAGTAAAAGAGATCTTGAAATTCATTCCAGGCGGCAAAATCACAGCAATGTGCTTTTCAAAAGTCATCAGAGAAATCAAAATACATATTTTTTGTGTCACAGTGAAAGTTTAACTGCTCAGTCTGTTCTGAGTCCGTTTTAGCAGCTTTTTACAGGATGTATTTCCAGAAACAAAAACTCCCCGTGTCTGGTATGCTGTTCCAGAGCCCGTCCAAACTACAAGTGCAGCCCACAAAAATGTAAGATCTCTCCACATTAATCAGAGCCAAGGCTGCTAGAGTGTCAGGAGATTCTTTTATGTCCGGGTTTTCTCTTTTTTCTCGGATATGGTCAGAAATGGCAGCATAAATCCTCATTCCCTCGTTTTCATTGAGCTCGCTCTCTCTCGAATGAGAGTTGGGAGTCTCTTTTGTCCCTCACGCCAGCAGTGACATATTGTGAGGTCTTTTTTCCCAGCCACTGTCCTCAATCCATCTCAGCCCAGCCATGAGGAGTGCGTCTGTGTGTGTCTCTCTGCATCTCCATTTACATTTTTGCATGCTGGAGTCACGACAGACCACCCTTTAGCTAATATAAACCAGCCCAGCTAGCCAAACGCTTCACATCCTGAACACTCACTGTCTGCCCTCCGTCTTCGCTCCTGGACCTACATTTGAGTCTAATATTTCACTACATCACGTCCTTGCCCCTAGTGTTATGTCTAGCTGTCATGAACATCTCACATTCCTGATATTCCAAGTTGCTTGAAATTTAAATGAAACACTGCAATGCGGAAAAAATTCTATCTGAGAGATGTTTAGCATAAATCCTCATTCCCTCGTTTTCATTGGGCTCGCTCTCTCTCGAATGAGAGTTGGGAGTCTCTTTTGTCCCTCACCCCAGCAGTGACATATTGTGAGGTCTTTTTTCCCAGCCACTGTCCTCAAGCCATCTCAGCCCAGCCATGAGGAGTGCGTCTGTGTGTGTCTCTCTGCATCTCCATTTACATTTTTGCATGCTGGAGTCACGACAGACCACCCTTTAGCTAATATAAACCAGCCCAGCTAGCCAAACGCTTCACATCCTGAACACTCACTGTCTGCCCTCCGTCTTCGCTCCTGGACCTACATTTGAGTCTAATATTTCACTACATCACGTCCTTGCCCCTAGTGTTATGTCTAGCTGTCATGAACATCTCACATTCCTGATATTCCAAGTTGCTTGAAATTTAAATGAAACACTGCAATGCGGAAAAAATTCTATCTGAGAGATGTTTTGTAAGGAATGTGCACCGAGCTCTTGTCTATAGTTGTCGGACTCGGTGGCGGGAACAGACTGCATGGGGGTATTGTGCGAGAATGAATTACGTGACCTGAAAGGGTTAATTATACCACTTCCTCCCCGTGATGGTCTTTGTTTGGTTGCTGGGCTTCACGTCTGAAGTGTCTGTTCCCCATCGGCGGTGCCCTAATCGCAGGCCACACGCAAAGAAAAGGCCGTTGGAGCGCCGTATACTGCAAACACCCGAGCCTCACTTTGATTTACACCTGTCAGGTACTGTGAGAGACTAGAACTGCAAATCAAAGAGTCTGGCTCAGATTTTTTGGCACAAATTCGCGTTTTCTTTATGCATAAAATGCTGTATCCTGGCACTTTTATTCATTATATTTTTATTATTATAATATTGAATTATAATTTATTGATTACATTTCAAACTTTTTTCTTAAAACAGATGTTTTAGAAATAGTATATTATTTAATTATATTAAAGTAAAATATATATTTTATAGGTTATAAATTAGATACACACTATATATATATATATATATATATATATATATATATATATATATATATGTTTATTTAAAAACACACACAAACCCCACTCA